TTTGACATAATTAACGCGCGATATATTGCGTTCCTGTAACACGCGTAAGCGCCGGATTAACGCGCTCCAAATTGAATTGAAACCAGCAGTCAAGTCTGATTAAAAGGATACATGACGCTTAATACACTCTTTGTATTTTAGTTAGCGTGTGAGGCGATATAAAGAAGAAACAAGAGTGCTCGTATTATTGCGAAAGTTTGAATATTCCGACTGTCTTTTAAGGTCTCTAAAGCAATATTCGCTTTTAAAAAAGACTAATTTTTCGGGAAAAAAAAGAAAAAAAAACTACATCAACCCACACGCTAAATGAAATACAAATTGATAGATTTTGCTCCAAGTAACGTAGAAATTATGACAAATAGCCTGTTTCAAATAATTTGGAATGATTTATATGAGGGATTGAATCTCCGCTTACGCGTTAATAGAGCGAAATATATCACGCTTTAATTGTCCCAAATTGGCCATATTGACAATCTTTAAACCCCTATAACTTTACAAAAAATGATCATAACTGAAAATTTCTTCAAATTTAAGCTCACGACAACAATAACTTTTGAGTGATGTTTAAAAAAAATTCGTCAGAAATGGCTAGTTAAAATGGCTAGCTATTTTGTCTGAAAAAAAAACAAGACTGCTCTTATATCAGGACGAAGCCCTGAATGTTCCGACTGCCTTCTCAGGCTATTCAAAAAGTTTTTGGATTGATTAATTGACGAAATAATCGGAAAAAAAGTTCTTCAGTTTTCCTTCCACATGCATTTTATCCGCCCACATGTAAATTACAATGTGTGTATATAGCTTCTCGTTTTGTTTGATTTTTTTTTACGGTGCTGGCCTCGATTCAATTTGTAATGCATTAATTCGCAGCTTATGTGTTATGAGAATGCAATATCGCACTTTAATTATCCCAAAATGGCTAAATTAGCAATTATTGAACCCCCTTATCTTTACGAAATATGATCACAGAAGTCGCAGTATCTTTTTAATTTTGAGCTCAGGACAACAATATCTGTTGGTGGATAAAAATAGTTTAAAAATGTAAAATTGACTTAATGAAATAACCGTTCCAAGCTTAAATATTCCTATATTTTGGATACAAAAATAGGAAAAAAAAATCTGATTATTTCGTCACTTATTCCACCAAAAAACTTTTTAATTGTCCTTAAAGTGAAATCGGAAATTTCAGAGTTTCGCCCTGATATACGAGCAGACTTGTTAGTGTTTGGTTTTTGTTCACAGGTCCCAGCTCATAAAATTAAGATACAAAACCGTTTACAAATACTGGCTTACTGTATTTTTTTTTCGTGTGTTGATTTTTGCTTTTGATTTAAAAAGAGTTTTTTTCACTGTCCTCTGCCTGACACTCAATACAGCGAGTGTTTGTGGATAAGAGAAAGTCTAATTGATGGATTAAACTCAGAAACTTATTAATGTACTTCTACTTAGATGTGTGCTGGAAATAGTAGGCCACCCTTTCCCCGAAATGGAACCAGCTCTTGGAACGCCGCACAAGAACAATTTGCTGAATGTGCTACTGGGGCGACTGAAGGACAGGTTCGAAAACAAACACAGAGCGGCGGTCAAAGGTCTCACAGGAGCTGCCCAGATTGTGCTGCATCAGCCAAATAAAATTGACGCATACGGACCGGAGCATAAGCTGAATGACAGAACAAAATGAATGTTTACCTGGAATATATTGTTGAAAAGCATCTGTTTAAAAAAAGCTGGTTTTTTGATTTTGCTCATTCAATTACAGTCTAATTCGTTCCGTGACTGGTATTTTGCCTATTAAATTTAATATGTTAGAAGTCAAGTTTTGAACTTTCAGTTCAAATGTCGAGGAAGTAATTTGCCTTGATGAGTCAGACAAACGTTGCTTCGAACACGGTGCTACTCCGAGACGTGCTGCGGATTCCTCATGTTCAAAACGAACTGCTGAGCTCCTCAGCTAATCTTAGCCAAAATTCATTCCAGAACACAGACAAAGTGCACTACTTCTTTGAAGCGGACGATTATGACCCGTCTAAAACACTTCAAGAACAAATAAGTGACCCAGAAGAACGATCGAACCAAAATTTCGAAGAACTGTTTAGAAAAGTGTTTTTGAGTGATGCGTCTGACGATGGAGAAAGTAGTGATTCATCAGACGATCAGATTAGTCTAGAGGAATTAGAAGCATCTATGGGAAACTTCTCGGCATCGGTCATTATCAACCGGTAAATTTTTCACCACTTCATCCCTCTTTAAGAGTCGGTGAACGTATATAGGTCGTGATGTTTTTTTCGCGGTTTGACTTTTGTTTTCTTTTAAGTTCATTAATTTTTGTTAAAAGGAAGGCAAACTCCACGTTCGAAAAGCAAAAGTGGAAAGGGCACGAAAAACGTTATCAATTTCTAGTTTCGAAAGGGGATTTTTTTTTTTCAGATATCCCAGTGGATATTAATAGAAATGTATTTTTTGTTGGAAATTTAAAGAAAATTTCAGTGAAATCAAATTGCTTATTGTTCCGATCATTTGAAATATGGGGTGGATCTTTGTACTCGGGTTTTTTAGTTTTTTTTCACGCAAAGTCACCTACCACAAATAATCGTCGGAGTGATTTGAGTGATTTATCGAGAAAAACTGGTCTGAAATTGTTGTTTTTTTTCGTCTAATTTCGAGCGAGCAGGTTTTCAATAACCTTAATAGCTTAAAAGCTTACAGTAGCCTTAATTGAGCCGTAAAAACTTAGTTTTACTCGAGTAAAGTTTTTTTTTCTATACTTTTTTGTTCTAGTCATTTTTCTTCAAACTTTGTTTTCCGATTGGCTTTTTTAGTATGACTGTCGAATATGCCTATGTTCCAGTTTTCCTTCAGATCAGGGGCCGATCTAGGATTTTCTCGAGGGGGGTGGATTTTCAAAAAAATTTCAAAATTTTGTCGTCTACCTTTTTTTTAGGTCGAGCAAATTGATTTTCCGAGCCTTCACATAGCACTAAAAAGTCCGTTTTTGCCAAAATTTCTGCAACGCAGGCAAAATTTTGAAAAAGAAACAGGCCAAAAAGGCGTTTTTAGGCACTTTTTGGAAATTTTTTACCAAAAAATCGCATTTTTTCGGCGCGCGGTCTCAGCTTAAAATTAGAATATATTGGCGCCAAAGGCGCCTTCAGAAAAATTTTAGGGTCCGTCAGCCAAAAATGGATATCTCAAATTGGTTCAAAGGAGGGATCCTTTGGGTAGGCAGGGTGTCGAATCCCTGAGGGGCGTCGTCCGCCTCCTCCCCCTAAATCCGCCCCTGCTTCAGATCCTTTTATCGCACCACGCAGAAAAGTTTGAACCTAATTTGAAAAAAAAACTTTTTTTACTTTTATAAGACTATGGTCGGAACATTCTGTGTTACTTGCACCGTAACCGGCTATCCATGTTACATTTGAGATTTGTTAATGTATGATTGTATTGATGTGCAATTAATTGATTACTCAATATCACGTCACTGGACATAATCATTTTGCGCTTTTTCGTGCTTTTTCACCAGCTATGCTTGTGATATGTTGTGGAAAAATTTTTGCTTATTCATGGAAGAACTGCTCTTTTTCGTTCTTTTTTGGCTCATGGTACTTTGACCTCATTTTGATAACTTTTTTCTTCATTCTCTTTCGGCGTTTTTAAAAGTTTAAAAGAACGAAGTGGTCGTTATTTAAGTAGGTCGTGATATTTGTTCAAGCTCAAATTTTGATTTTGAATAGCCTGAATTGGCAAAAGTTCAGACTAGTTTTTCCCGATACTGAGACAACTTTTTGAATTTTGAGCTTTTTTGGAATGCGAATACTAATATCACGGCTTAAATATGATTCCTACGAGCTTTTCTTGAGGTTACCAGATTTGGGGAAAAAATCATTCTAAACTCCCCCCTCCGCCAGTTCTCTCCAGTTTTTTTTTTCAGGTACATGGTCGGAACAGTAAATTGCCTGCTATAGTTATTGTATAGCCTGCTCCAATGAAAAAAATCTATATATTTTTTTGAATTCCACCAAATGATTAGTTTCAATTATTTCAGGCAACGGAAACTGAAAAACCTAGCTCCTCTTTTTATCCCGACTGCCAAAAAATCTAACAAAACTGATCAAGATCACGTCCAATCTGACTTCGCTTCAATTGATACTCCTCAAATAATCGATCACAGAGGCGAAATTGTACCTACCTTAAAACAAGAGACTTCAGACGATAAAGCAGTCATCCCAGAAACAGAAATGAACATTCAACATTTGTTAATAGGGGATGAGAGATTGTGTCTCACGAATAAAACATGCAGTGGCACGGCCTTGATATTTGGGACAAATGTTTGCAAAACTGAAAATAAATATGACAATGAGCATGAAAGTTTCCTAAATGTTTTGAAAAGCAGTTGGTTGAATTATGAAGCAGATATTTCATTACAGTAGTTAGTTTTCACAATTTGAAATTTTTGGTATCTAAAGCTATACTAATTAAAGAGCAATTCAGCGTGGAGAAAGTATATAATTAAAATAGTTGTTACTAATTGAAAGTGCAGTTATTTTACATGTACGCTGTACCTTTCACTTAAGTTTTATTTTCAGTGAAGTGGCTCTCAAGCTGAATAAAGTTTAAATATCCACTCTGATTGAATAGATGATAGATCTGCAACTGAACTCGCGTTATCTCATATAAACGTACGATCTGGGTTAGGCTGAAAATTGATTAATGTGTTCTGGGATTTTTTTGTACTTCAGATTCCAATGCCTCTGTGTAGTTTCTACCGCACACCTCGCGGGTGCATGTACGGAGATCAATGTCGTTTCGAACACGCAGACTCCTGTAGATTCTTCCAAAGTGTAGCGGGATGTCGATTCGGCAACAACTGTTCTTTTTCGCATACTCTTTCTTCACTTGATGCATATTCGACAAGGCGTGATCAAAGTTATCCAATCAGATCATCGGAAAACGAAAGCTATCGGAACTATTCAACCAGATCATCTCAGAATGATTATCATCAAAATTATCCAATCAGATCCTCCGAGCATGACTCATACCGAAATAACCAACTGAGGAGATTTGAGTATAGCTCTTATCGAAATTCAAATAGCAGCAATCAAGAAGCAGATTCTGTACAAAATAGACCAAAAACCAATAGTGAACCAAGATCTTTCATGTCTAGTTATGTCTCAGCGGGTAATCTGCAGTCTGCTATTTCTGTTGAGTCGTTGACTGAGGAAAAGATGGCGCTGTGTTTCAAAACTGACTCTGAGATTCTGAAGATGAAGTATCCCGAGTGTGATTGGTTGGACAACGAGAGGTGTGCTGTGATTGTGTTCGAGTGTAGTGACCCAGACTGGGTTAGTTGCAATCGATTTTTTGCGTGTTTGATAAGATAATGAGTCTATTATCAAAGATTACAAAGCAGCAGAAACAACTGGGTTGAAATGCATTTGTGAAATGGTAATACCATCTCGTCCCATGTAAATGGAGTCCATGATAATTTGATAATTTATTTGATGTTTTTACCCTTGCCATTAGCAAGAGTATTGCAATCGGGTACTATACTTTTTCCCCTTAAATGACTTTGTTCACAGGACTCATTCCACCAACTGAACTCCTGACATGCTCAATTTCCTGAAAATTTAAATAAAACTAATTTAACTTATATAGTTAATTATTAGATAAAGCGCGTTTCGGTTTGTAATTATTATTATTTTTTTCAAATAAATTGTTTTTTTTTCGCGCTCGTTGTTTTCGTCCTAATTTCTGTGGTTCATTTTCCATTTTTTTTGAAACGCCATTTTTTTTTGTTTGATAGGATTTCTTAGCTTACTTTCTAGTGCATGTGTTTTGTTCCAATTTAAACAGTTTTCTCTAAAACTGAAATTTCAGTAATTTGTAAATTTACCAAGTCTGATTTAGTGTTATTTTTTTTCATTTTTTTTTGTTTGTTTTAAACTAAACAGTTTTAGTTTTTGTTGTATCGGCTGAGTCAACTTATATTGCATATTTAAGAGGGGAAAAAATATACGCATGCGATTATGTGTTTCAGATTGGATTGGTCGTAAACATTTTTTTTTTAAAACAAGTTTGAAATTTTTTTGACATCAGTTTTGTTTTCGGCTCCAACAGGTTTCGACCCAAAAATTTTTGCCTCTCGGTTATTGATTTTCAATTTTCTATAAGACTGTTTATGAACTGCTGGCTATACAACCATGAAACTTAATTTTTCAGAAATGTTTTCAACTGATCCTTACTTTTTATCTATATTATGCCTCCAAATTATCATTCTGATTTGATAATCGTTCAGGTTTCAGCCATTCCCAATGAACGCCACAAGAGTCAAGATGACCTTCCCTCAATTCTATCCTAAGCAGGTAAATCATACATCCCCGCTCAATTTCATAAGGTTTTCTTAATTTATAATCGTTCTTTTACAGGTATTGCAGTGATAGCCTTTTAGCGATTCAATTCGAGCTGATGATTCAGCGTTGAAGTTTTATGGCAGATAGTTTTTTTTATTCTAGGTGCTCGAAGTGTCTTGTATTCACAATCAGGCTGTCCCGCGTCAAGTCACCAAGTAAGAATATAAAAAGTATTTTTTAAAACCATCCTAAGTACAATTATGATTGATGGGTCCCTGGAATGCATATGGATCCCAAGAAAAATAGTTGAATTTGAAAATTATTGATTTAGCGGGAGTTGTTGATTTAGCACTAAATGGCGGGACCCATTTGTCATTCCTATTTTTCTAAATACCCAGGAGTTGTACTAGATCACTGCTTTTAAAGCCAATAATGTTTTAGTCGGGGCCTAGGAAGTTAGACGATAAGCAAATTAGACGGATGCTACAAAAACGGAATTGGACGGAATTTATTTTTTACACATCTGGCATTTTAGACGAAAGGGAAAGGGCCAACAAAAATTTTTCTTTAGAGTCAAGTTTCACAAATACAAAAAGAACATAAAATGTCAATATCTATCAAAACAATTAGTTTAAATGAACATAAAATGTCAAATCTGAATATTACAGGAGAGTTTTGAATTGAATAAATTATGCATGATTGACTTGTAAAGTTTTTGGCCACCGAAATTGAACTGTAGTCTACAAACAATTTTATTTTTCTAACGCAATTTGTGTGCAAACAAAGTTAATTTCTCTCACTTTCGTCTATTTTCAAAACCGTCTAATTTCCTTTTCGGTACCTCCGTCTAATTTGCTTATCGTCTAATTTTTCAACCCCCGTTTTAGTCATATCAACAGCCAATTGACTGATTACCTCAATGCGCGACAGACGACAATAGATCAAAGTGGGTTCTCTGTTCTGATGGTGAGACCCTTCCTGAAGTGGTTCGACCGAAGTTTGAAAGACTTCTACTTCCGAGGACTCAAACAGGTAAAAGAATGATCATGATAGAATGTTCTCGGACTTGTATGGCCTTCAAAAACATTTACAATCATTCAGCTGTTTAGAAAAAAGATTCATTAGAATTTTTGGTCGGTTTGCAGATGTTTTTCTGCCAGAAACCCGTTTGAAAATGTAGTTCCGAAGACTTAGCAGTTTCAGGTAGACAATCTAATGTTGCCTAGAGAATATCAAAAACTTAATTTGCCAAGAATTGCTTCTAATTCCGTTAATTGTCAAAAGGTTTTCGAAGCTATCTGTAAAATCTAATATATCATCATCATCATCATCATCATTGCTGGATTATACACCCTTTTTGGTACTCAAAGGTGTTTGTTTTGTCTGTCTCCTTAGTACGTGGCCGATGTGTAATAATGAGATCTGAATAAATGTGTCTTCAGTGATTTTCTGAATAACTGAAAGTCCGTTTCTTCTCGCATTTTCTGGGGCAGTGAATTCCAAAGTTTTGCTCCACAATAGCTGAAAGATCTTCTACCTAAACTTGAATTAACTCTGGGTACTACCAATTTTGGACCATCACGCAAGCTATAGCTATTTTGTTTTAATTTGAGTATGTCTCTTAAAAATGCTGGACATAAATAGTTTCGGTTTAGTTTTTTGAAAACAATGCACAGTAATTTGAACTCAATTCGCTTCGAGACTGGTAACCAATGTAGATCATGTAGATAAGGGCTGGTTGGTGTTCCTTTCTTGAGTTGGAATACAAATCGTCCAGCTGAATTTTGTATTTTCTGCAGTTTCATCAAAAGGTAATTGGGTAAACCAAAATATAGGCTATTGCAATAGTCAAGGCGGCTAAGTATAAGGGATTGACAGAGTAAATGTCGGGTCTCAAAAGAAAGGAAAGCTTTTATGCTAAAAAGTTTCCGCAGAATGTAATAGGCCGAGCTACAAACAGAATTGATTTGTCGTTGTAAGTTAAATTTGGAATCAAAAATAAAACCAAGCACTGTAAGTGTGTCTTCTGATTTGACAATTTCATTATTAACACGTATGTTTATTTCTCTTGCAACCTTCCTGTCAACAAACAGAACTTCTGTTTTATCAGAATTTATTTTCAAATTATTCATTTCAAACCATTTGGTAATTTTGACTAGACTTGCATTCAGATGATCAACTGAACTATTTAAATCTGCGGCTGATAAGTAAATTAAACCATCATCCGCATAAATTTGATAATTCAAATCAAGAGATAAAAAGAGAGACCGTAGAGGTAAAAGGTAAATGCTAAAAAATAGAGGACCTAATATGGATCCTTGGGGAACTCCATTTTTCACAGATTCAGTCGAAGATAACCAGCTACTAATTTTAACTGCCTGGTAGCGACCACATAAATAAGACTTACAAAGTTCAAGAGCTGCTCCTTCAAGTCCAGTGTAATTTTCCAGACGGCGTAATAAAATATCATGAGAGACCGTGTCAAAGGCAGCACTTAAGTCAAGAGCCACTAAGATTACGGGGCATTTGCTTGAAAGCTTGTTAAGAATGTCATTACTGGTGTTCAAAAGTGCTAATTCAGTGCTATATCCTTTACGATACGCTGATTGATAAGGATCGAGAATATCAAGCTTGTTTAAAAGATGCAGCAATTGAATCGAGATTACTCTCTCAAAAATTTTGGATGAAAAAGATAATTGGGTAACAGGTCTATAAGAAGACAACAGATTTCTATCAAGTGTTGCTTTCTTCAGAAAAGGACTTATAATGCCTAACTTGAAAACATTTGGGAAATGTCCTTTCTGTAAACAATTGTTCAGTATGCCAGTAAAAGTTGGCACCCAGCTTTTTTGAATTTTCTTCATAATCTCAGTTGGCATAGAATCGCAGGGGCTGGTAGCATTGGACATGGATGCAATTGCTTTATAAATATCATCACAAGTAACTTTATTGAACGAACTAAATTTCACTTTGTCTCTGGCTAATGTTTCATTTGAGTCACGGTAATAAAAGTTATGAGGTTTCAATGAAGCAATGACGCTCTCAATTTTCTCAATAAAGAAAGTATTAAATTTATCTGCCAGATCTGATAAAGAACAATTATTGGGTAGCACTGATCTCGTATCAATTCCTAAAATTTCATTGAAAGAACTGTATGAGCTCTTTGGTTGTGATTTGATACGATTTACTTCCCTATTGTAGTAATCAAACTGTTTCTCTTTAAATAACTTGCGACAATCCAGATTGGCATTCTTCAGAGTCAATCTATTTTCCAGTGAAGGAACTTTATTGAAGATTCGTTCAAACTTACGGCGCTTTTGCTTCATCGTTTGCAAGTCATGGTCAAAAAATTTGCAGTTACGTTTTCTAAAAAGCCGAAATTTAGTTGGGTTAATATCAATTGTAACTTCAGCTACTATGTCAGAGAAATCCTTCATGGCTGTGTTGTTTTCTTCGAAACTGATTTGATTGATCAGTAAGTTACTTTCTATTTCTCCAGCTAATTCTATAAGATCAATATTGTCCCATTTTCTGTAAGGTTTTAAAATTCGTTCTGCCATTGAAACACTTATTGGTAGTAGAAAAGATATAACATGATGGTCAGAAACTTCGAAAGGGATCACGTTTAATTGCGATATTTTTATTTCATCTGTAATAGCTACTAAGTCTAAAATATTTCCAGAGCAATGTGTTGGTTCGTTTATAATTTGTTTCAGACCAAACTCTTGAAAGACATCTTGGAGGAGTAAATAACGATTGTCTTTATTATTAAAGAAGTGTACGTTGAAATAACCCAATATCACACATAAATCATAATCAGTGGAAAATTCGTAAATCATGTTGTATAATTGTTCTTTAAAAATCAAAAAATCTCCACATGGAGGCCTATAGCAGATGATGAATAATATACGACAGGTCGGAAAGGATATTTCGAGAACTTTTAGCTCTATCTCTGCTTGATTCAGCGATGATAACTGGTTGACTTTGAAGTCGCATCTACAAATCAATGCTATTCCACCTCCATTAGAGTAATTTCTTGGCTGGCTAAAAGTGTCATAAATTTCCAAATTAGAACAACACTGACGTAGTAAATAATTTTCATTGCTATCATGTTTCAGCCACGTTTCCGTAAGAAAAAATAAATCAAAATCATTTGATAGAAGTATTGAAGCAATATCTGATGTTTTATTTCTGACCGAGCGCGCATTCAATAAGCTAATGGAAATTGAAGTCTTCAAAGCTTTTGATAGTCAAGGCTTGTTTGATAGAGACTTCAACCATGTCTTAGCATTATCGTTTAAGAAAAATCTTTTGACCACAACATTTTTCGGCCAGAAAGCAGAATTTTCGATTTTTTCACAACAATCTCCGGAGAAAACGCAGTGAAAACTTCTGAAAGAGCCGTTTTCTATTGAAACTTCCCTGATATGTTGCAGTGGCGCATCTTTTTCATTACACCATTTAATAACATCATCTGCGGTATAATCTTTGCTAATACGACCAACATAAATGTGTCTTCTAGGTGGTGGTTTTGATACCCCTAAAAATGTTTGTGAGTCAGACGTTCCAATAATTGCCGCTGGCTTTTTTTCGGGCGTTTCCACTCGGGTTCGCTTTTTTCGACTAGAACTGTTCGACGATACACTGTCATTTCTGAGATGCATGCCTTTGATAAACGAAAAATCAGGCTAATATATTTCAAAAATTGATTTTTATTTTCTTCGATTTAGTTTTTCGTTTTCCCTGACTTGCGAAAAACTATTTGCTTTGTCGAATGGTGTGCGTGGTTTGCTTAAAGTTTCTCAGCAATCAGTGGTTTTTTGTTATCAGAGGATTGATTAATTTTTGAGTCAACTAAAATACCAGGATACCCCGATACTAGAGCTATTTAGAATAATTTTGCTCTGATTTTCTTTTAGGCTAAGTTGAATTCAACCGTTGAGGTTGCCAACATCAATCAACATGTAGATCTTGAACTGGACTCGGATAATACTTTTGATGCCACCTTGAAACAGACTTTTGTTGCTTATCGGAAAAACGAAGACGGTCTCTCCATCGAAGATGCGCGTGAAAAACTTGCCGAACAATTAAAACATCACAATTTGAACGATGAAGTCGATGAGTTTGATGATGAATATGAGTACTCGTCTAGTTCTGAATCTGATAACGAGGACGATTCAGAGCAGGCAGGGTCTGCATCTAGTTCTAGAAAACAAAACAAAGGTGGAACTGTGACTATTGCGGAAAGATGTGGCATTGAAATATCCCTTCTCAATTTTGCCTTTCAAACTGAAAATATCTGCACCATATCCTGTAGAAGTATTGGGTGCTCGTTCACTTGTTCACGGTGCGGTACTTTATTTGACATGAAAATGCACCCCAATAGTGCAATATCTCAGGAGTGTGTGAAATGCAGAACGAAAATGATGGTGAATTTTCGACCTTCGCTAATGCACCAGAGCTGTAATGTATTGGGCTATTTTGATACTGAGAATTGCTCCCCTCATTTCAACATTAATGCGGCTGAAACACTCTGGGCTTTCATGTGCAGTAATTGCAACATGACGACAAATTCACCGGTAAGAACGAGTCCTTGTCAAATATTGGGTTTAACGAAGCTTACCTGAGATATCCCATCAGAATATTATCTGATTCCGATCACTTTACGAGGAATTAAGTAGCAAGGCTATGGCGTGGGTTTTTTGTTATTTTTTGAGCGATTATAGATACATCCCAGAAAGCCCGTACGGGGTCCAGTGTGATATAATTTTATTTCCAGTATCGAGAAAAATTGGCTGGTCTGAAAAGTGTTGTTACTTCTACTTAGATTTTTGAAGAGCTGGTGAAATTGAGTACTCACGATCTTCAATTGTATTTTCAGTAGTTTTCATAAAATACAACTCTTAGAATTATCATGGTAAAATGTCTGCTGATATAATTCTTAAAATGTAGCGTGAAACTAAGGTTTGATATCTGAAAAATTGTGACTATGACCTAGGTAAAATGTACCATGTTGTTTTGAGCATTGTTTAGGCTGTGAATGCGGAGGAGGTGAAGCTGGTATTCTGCCACAACTGCCACCACAAATACGAGGTCAAGTACGCAGGGGTCAAGTTCAAGGACCTCATGGTACGACACCCTCACATGCCCAGTTAGTATAGCGAGCGCAGAGTTAAATAGTTGCACGGAATCTAAAAAGAATGCCTTGAATCTCACCAATACATTAAGTCAGATCTCTCCGACTTGTCTGACTCTCTATTAAGTCAGACTTTCTATTGGCGGCGTTAAATGATACTCGTATGATAAATGGTAACAGTAGCCTGACCCTCAAACTGCTTGAAAACTTCATATCACAAGGTTCTGCCGTTCGTGCTGTTTTGTGACATGCGTAGTGACTAAATAAAGTTGTGTTCTTGGGCGCAAAGAAAAATCACAATGATAGGTGAAATGTTTTTTTTTTTCGAAAAGCAGACCTCTGCATAAAGAATCATCTCAAAAGAAATTTAAAAAGTTATAGATATCCAATTTGCAAGATTTTCGTTTGGATCTTTCACGAGCCTGTTCTGTTTTTAATCTTTATTTAATTCCTAATTCAGAAATGACAGAAGCGAAACCAGCCACTGGGAAAAAGAAGGAGCGCGACATGCTTTCTCTGATCCCGGGCGAACCCCTTCCCAAAAAAGGGACGTGTAAACACTATCGGAAGAGCTACCGGTGGCTCCGCTTTCCCTGCTGTGGTAGAGTGTACCCATGCGACGTCTGCCATAATGACGTGGAGTTGCATGAGATCGAGTTTGCAAACAGAATGATATGTGGGTTCTGCTCTAAAGAGCAGGTTAGTGGGTGTGCTAATTGACGAAGTATAAACGCGCAATTAAACTTCAAATAGGATTCTTGATATAGCCATGGTATCATAACATAATTTCAAAGCAACAAATACTTCTAGTTAAGTGTAAAAGTTAAGTATTTTTGACTTATATATGCCTTGATGATTTTTTTTATTTTTCAGGTAAAGGTCTGAAAATGATTTTATAACTACAGAAGTGCATTGTGCATTCCTACATATTAGTAGTTTTATGAGTGCACTTTATATATGCTTTTTTGAGTTCATATCAAATCGATTTGTCAAAATATTAGGTAAATTGCGCTCTCCAATTTCAAAAGCGGAAATGACTCGTAAAAACAAGTTTCGAAAGTGGATTTTAATTTTTAGATTTTCTAGCGGAATCAAAAATTTACCCATTGATCCAGTTTTTGTAGATTGGGTCAAACTTATCAAAGACGAATCGATCTTGAATTGTTCTTGAAATTCAAAAAGCCAAAACCTGGTATATTTTCTTCGAAAGTTGAAAATATATTTCAACTATATATTTCAACTTTTACTTTTTTTCCAGCCATCTGTTGCCTATATTTTTTCTTTCCAAATTTGCTGTGACCCGAGAAATTACTTAATGTTATTCTTCGACGTCAACCGGTATTCAACATTTTAAATTTTTTCAGGGCTACCAGAAGAGTAAATCCTGTACGGGGTGCAGTAAAGAACTGGCAGGCACCACTGGATCCCACTGGGAAGGAGGGAGAGGATGCAGAAACCAGAAGAAGATGAATAAGTGAGCTTTGATTTCACATAACAATTGTCCATCAAACCAACTTAATTACTCAAGCGAACGTTCGCTTATGCGAAGTGCAGCTCTGCCTGTGCGGTAATATAAAATTTAATTTAATGCTACGGACAATCTTTTTGAATTTTTCAGACCATGCTAAACAAGCCCTCCCATTTTTTTTGTTTTCGACGAATCATTTTTCAAATTAACAAAATTTTTCTGATGCCAATTTAAGATAATATAAATTTTAAGCTTCTAGCTATTCAAAATCAAAATTTTTTTCCTATTTTTAATAATTGTTTGGCATACTTAATATTACTTTGATTTTACAAGGTTAAGTAGAATATTGAATAACAGAGAAAATTGAGTATTTTCGTAGTAGCCTCATAAGTCAGCATAGTGCCAGCTATAAGGAAAATCGCACATTGTGAACATAAGATATTACGGTAAATTCGCTGGTTAGGGGAAGAAGAAAGAGCCATCTCTTGATGTTAACTGCTTTGTTCATAGATTAAGTGATAACTTAATCATTAAAAACTTTTGCTAGTGTATAAATATAACTGTGTAGAAGTAAATTATTCTTGAATTACTTTATCAAAAGACAATGAATGAAGTGACAAGACACTAACTTAGGTCAGACAGATTTTTGTCAGGAAAAAGATTTTGATCATGTTCAAATTTGTTTTTTTTTGCAGTTTGATTTTTGATTTCATTCAAGCTCAATTCAAATTCAATTGCTGAAAAGAAGGCAAAATACGCTATTCAACGAAAGTACAAATAGTACAGAAAAGTTTGAATGGTTTTTGTTTCGATAGTGGTTTAAATTTTTAGCTTTTTCAGCTAAATGAAAATAATATCCTGTTTTTTACATGGGTCCGTTCTATGACAGAAAAAAGTGTCAATCGTATTGAAATAGAAAGAGTTAAATCTTGGTGTATTTTTTAAAATTCTAACGATGAACAATTTTTCAAAGAGTATAATTTTTTGGTTTTTTTGAGTTGATTGGAATTTTTTCAACTCTCTTTAGCGATGTATAATAATACTGGAAAATTTCAATTAAGGGATAATATTTTTCGTTTAAAGGATCCGAAAAGAAACGACCCCGTGAATCTTAAACATAATGCTTTTTCCATGCTTTAGTATGATCAGTACTACGTACAGTTGTTTTAAACGAAGAACTGTTCTGAAGCTAACAGTGGAAGTGGACAGGAACTTCGTCGTTGGATTTGTTCCAGTTTTTTTTTCTACGAAAAATTAGGTACCACAGTCAATTGTCAAAATAGGTTGAGTGTTATATTAAATTAAAGCCCTTTCAGTCCTGAGTCAGTCGACATTTAAAAAATTTTGAAACATTTTCTCTGTGTAGAAAAAAACGGAAGGAAAATTTGACTTTTAAATCTAATTCCGAGCTTTGTTTGGCTGTTATTACACAAGCGTTGCTTGTGTTATAGTATGAACTATCTTTTTTTTTAACCTAAATCGCAAATATTGTTGCGATAAAATTTGTTCATTTTGAAAGTGTTCGTTTTGATCAATAACCAGCTATTAAGTACAGCCAATGCTAAGCATTTTAACACAGATTATTATTGTTCCGACTTTCGTAACGAAAGTAACGGAATATTTGTGCTCGGGTGGTTTTTTTTTCAGACAAATTTCGACTTTATAACTAGGCATTTTTGACGGGATTTTTTTGTATCATTCAAAAAGTATTGTTGTCCTGAGCTTGAATTTGGAAAGATATTTCAGCTGTGATCATTTTTCGTCAAGTTTTGTGGGTTTAAAAATTGCCATTTAGGCAAATTTGGGACAATTGACTAGCGGTATTTTTCGCGCTATTAACGCGTTAGCGGATATTTAATCCGTCATAGAAATCGTTCCAAATTAGTTGAAGGACGCTTATTTGCCATAAGTGATTTGTTACTAGGAGCAAAATTTATCACTTTCTACTTAATATGGCGTGTGTGGTGATGATTTTCACAAAAAAATCTCAAATTGAAAATCTCATTTTTGTTACATTTAATTTTATCATGTTATTACTGCTCCATAGACTGCTCTATAAATTGAGGCATGTTAGTTGGTAATTTTTTTTTCAAATTGGCTGGTACTGCTAATGCGCCATAATTGGTGTGCGTCACTTGGCATTTATGTAGACTCAAAGTTTTACTCACTCAGTTTTTCACAGTAGCGTTATCGGTCATATTTTTCCTTGTGTATGCGAAGTGCAACTTCGCCTCTGTGTTTACACTTGCGAGAGCAAGTGTCTTGTAATCGGGAGCTAAACGTTTCGAGTCACGGACGGACCTTATTTTTTCAGTGTAATTGAAATTGAAATTTTTGTCCTGTAAAAATTGAATTGTCGGACGTTCGTTTGTCTGCTCAAGTTTTGTCGGCTTAGTTGCCGTATCCTAGATTTTTTTGCTGTCAACAATTTTCGTGATAGTTGCTAGTGTGAGTGTTTATATTTGTAGTTCCAGGAGACTGAAAACTTTTTTTACAAGCTTATTTTTTTCGTCTCAACTGATATCTGCTCAAAGATTGTCGGCTTTGTTTCTGCTTCGTAAGTTTTGTTCCGTTGCCAATTTGATATTGCTCGTTTAATAATTTGTTTTAGTTTAATAATTTGTTCTGTTGCTAATTTGTTCCGTCGGCTTTGTTTCTGCTTCGTCTCTGTAGTAGACTATTATAGGTGTTGTAACTGCTCAAAGGGCTTAATTTAAGCTGAAAAAAGTTATTTTTTGAAGCTTTATTTAGTTTTTTCTTTCTTGCAATAAGTTTTTGCAATGGGGTCAGAACTTTCTGTGATATTTGCACAGCAACCGACGAATCTTCTTGAATCGTTTGCTCCTACTTTACCCATAGAACTCTTATAATCAATAGTCAGTTTTCGGTTATATCTTGTTATTTTTTAACCGCTAGAAACTTGTTGATGGAATGATTTCTGTTTCAGAAGTGATGCACAGAAGTACCGAAATCGGAACAAGACAATAGCCAAGAAGAATGTCGCTTCTAATAACTCGAAGAAATAGACATTTCGCTCATATTTTAAATTTTATAGAAACAAATCTTTGGAGGCTAGATTTTCAGTTGGAAAATGAAAATCAAAGCATCAGATTCTCAGCGAGAAAATCAGCTACTTTGCTCCAAGTATTTCCCTCAATAATCAAAGTAATTTGAACACAATATTTGGCTATTGGCGCATTTTCCAATACTTTTCAAAAAAAATTTAAATGCGTTGTTTAAAGCACGTTGTTTGGCTATTGATGCGTTTTTTAGAGTTCTGAAAACAGTGGCGGAATACTTGTGCTCAATTTGGTTCTTTCTGTTAACGAATTTTGACTAAATGTCAAATTTTGACAAACTCTTAGGTTGAAAGTTACCTATTTGGGATCAAGTTTTGTGTTACAAAATATTAAAGTTCTGGAAGTCACCTGATCTTACATTGATTTACTTAATTGTTTCAGACGCGTGTTCAAATTTTGACTGAATAATAGAAAAATTGAAATAAAAAAATCATTTTGAGGCAACTTATCTTAAATTTTTTTTTGTCAATTAATATCTGCCCTTGCAAAACGTCATATTGTATGTATCTGAGTCTTTTCTTCAATTCAGCTGATACCGGGGTGCAAGACGTATGTTTCGGCTTTGAAAGTATGTTTTGATTTCGAATGTCGAAAAGGTGAAGTTTTTCGACTTATAGTCAGCGGTCGAGGAGCAGTTTTAAGTCGAAACATACTCGATTTTGTTGATATAGGCCGAGGACAGTCGAAACTTATGTCGAGCTCCGTCGAAACATACCCGATTGCGGTCGAGAAAGTCGAAACATAATTCGAGTACACTCGAAACATACTCGATTTCGGTCGAGAAAGTCCAAATGTAGGTCGAGCACAATTGAAACAGAAGTCGAGCGCAGTCGAAACTTTTCCGATTTCGGTCGGAAAGCCAAAACATAGCTCAAGGAAATTCAACAAATAGGTCGAGCACAAAGTCGAAATCATACCCGATTTCGGTCGAGAAAATCGAAACATAGGACGAGCACAGCCGAAACTTAGATTGAGCACAGTCGAAACATAAGTCGACAACAGTCCAACATACCCGATTCGGGCGAGAAAGTCGAAGCATAGGTCAAGCACAATCGAAACAGGTTGAGCAGTGTCGAAACATAGGTCGACCAGAGTCGAAAATGGCTAAGCATAGTCGGAAAAGTGTTTCATTAAAGCGAATTTTGTCGGGTTTATTGTTAGCGCAACTAAGAAAGTTACAAATAGCAAATTGATCAAGTTTAAATGTCTTTTTAATTTGCCGGTACCTAGACAATTGTGTTCGCTGATAATATACATGACCACCACGGGAAGGACTTCAAATAGTCCCAACGTCAGATAAAAGCGTTTTTTTTTTGGAATAACGTCCAAGTCGTCGCCATAGTACAGACAAAAAAATGAAACAGTTAGCATCCAAATCAAAGTAACCAAGTAAACCTAACAAACAAATGACAAACAGTTAGTACCACTATCTTGAAGCTAAATATGTTCATTAATAAAAGGCAATTAATAACAATAATAAACAAACATTCTTTTTTGCTGCCAAAAATATACGACAGATGCAAATGGTAAAATATTCTAGTTTATATGTGTTTTTACACGAGAATAGCTTGTGTTAGAGTATGAACTCTCTTTTTTCCCAATCTAAGTCGCAAATATTGTTGCGACAAAACGTGTTCATTTTGAAAGTGTTCATTTGGATCAATAATCAGCTATTAAGTACAGCCAATGCTAAGGATTTTAACACAGACTATTATATAACACATAGCACTTTTAGCTTCAAGTTATCATGGATCTGTAGCGTAGAGGTAGGGAAGGAGACCTGCAACAAAATAAGAGGGTTCGAACCTGGGCAGGGTCGGATGTTTTCAATGAACTTTTTCGTATACTAGCTAAAATGCGTCCACTAAAATGTTAGTTTGTAATTTTTTTTTTCAAAATGACTGTTACTGCTAAAGCGTCATAATTGGCGTGCGTCTTTTATGAAATTTTGTAGACTCAAAGTTTTACTCAATCAGTTTTTCACAGTAGCGTTGTCGGTCATATTTTTACTTGTGTATGCGACGCGCAATTTCGCTTCTGTGTTAATGTAGTGTTGGCTAGACTTAATCCTTCCTTTTCAAATGCAAAAATACCAATCATAGACGTTTAATTGAATTTTTTGTACTCATAGAATTGAATCATAAATAATTTTCCTGAAATGTATGATTACCAACAGAAAATAAAAAATTGAACTAAATAATCTACCAGCTAATCAAAAGTGAAATAAACGTAACAGTTATGTGAATCACAGTTATCACTAAACTTTCAGCTGAATTGATTTCAATTGTTTATTGAAAGTTTTAAGGATCATTTCCGTGCATTGACTTTTTCAAAGAAATACCAATGTTACTCCCAAAATATCCACATACAGACACTTGGATAGCCTTTTTTGCAGATTAGCTTTTATTTGTCTACTAGAAAGTTAAAGTCTTTAATTTTTAAAGCATTGTTTCTATCTTCAAATTTCTGACTAAAAACTACAAGAAGCGCTTCCAAATAGAGACAAGACTGCTCGTATCAGGGCGAAGCCCTGAATGTTCCGACTGCCTTTTAAGGTTTATGGAGCAGCAGTAATAACATAAAAAATTTAAATGAAATGAAATTTTTTTTCTAAAATTTGAAATTTTTTGTGAAAATCATCCCCCCACACGCCATGTAAAGTACAAAAAGATAGATTTCGTTCCTTGTAACAAATCAATTATGGCAAATAAGTTTCGTTCAACCAATTTGGAACGATTTATAAGATGGATTAAACATCCGCTTAAGCGTTAATAGCGCGAGTTATATCGCGCGTTAATTGTCCCAAATTGGTCAAAATGGCAATTTTTAAACCCTCATAACTTTACGAAAAATGAGCACAGGTGAAATATCTTTTCAAATTTAAGCTCAGGAGAACAATACCATTCGAATGATATTAATAAATTCCGTCAAAAATTGCTAGTTAAAAAGTCGAAATTTGTCTGAAGAAAAAAAAACCCACCCCGAGCACAAATATTCCGTTACTTTCGTATCGAAAGTCGGAACAAAAAGAGGTCATTTTCAACATTTTGACCATACAAGATTTTCAATTAGGCGCATAGTGAGCGCGGATTGATAGATTTTTGGCTCATGTTGTTTTAGAGATATGACTTCAAGTGAAATTTGAAAAAATGCTCGTTTCATGTTTTTGATATCATGATCATGAATCAACTGTTTCAATGAAATATAAACCCATTTGCTGAAAAACTGTATAAGCCCACTCATAATGGTCTCCATAAAATGACTAGCCACTTTCTGGTTCACAATTTTTTAACCTGAAGGACAAAGTGAGCTTCTAGTTCTGCCATACCAAACTATTGACTAGATGCATAGTGATCCTGTACTAACATGATCATCTAAGAAAATAAAGGACTCAGAATCAAAAACTGTAATTGCGAAGGGATGTAAACAGTAATTGAAACACAAACTAAACAAGTTTAGACGGGTACCGCGACAACTTGCAAGAAAAGGCAACTCGCAAAATTTAAGCAAAGCGACAACTCGCAAGTTTTTGAAGCGAATTTGGAAACTTTATATTCTCGGCTTAAGATCGCCGGTGGGCGCGCGTCGCAGCTTTGCGGCGATTACTGGCACTAAATTTTGTATCCGGCTCTAAAAGTCCTACCCTATGTTGCGCGGCTGCGTCGGTGAGTATATTGCGAGTTGTCTTTTAATGTGAGTTGTCTTTTATTGTGATTTGACTTTTCTTGCGAGTTGTCACACTGCGGTTTAAACCGATGCGCACAATATTCATTCTTGTTCGAAGCATTTCAGTTGGGTAATCAAATTTATACTAATATCATAGGCTGTAAGAAAAATCAGGCGCTATCAGTTTGATTGAGAAATCGCCAGTTAATCAGTGTTTTATTATGTAACCGAAGGCTGACAAATCTGAAGCGTGACCTGAAATTTTATTAGCGCAAGTTAACTCTCTTTGTTTCACATAAGTTACGGTCATAAAACTCAATGATTTTTTTCCGAATTTGATATTTTGCAATAAGATCAGCCACTAGGAAGATAGGCTCAACATTGAGCGCAAGAGTGTTACCATGATTTCGTGTTATGATTTCGCATTGATCGGCCAATTTTTTTTTGGAAAACCGCTGATAACTTCATCAACATCGGATTTTTCTTAACCGTTAAAGACGAATCCTTAAACAATTTTTCGGTCCCTCGAGCATATCATTGGTGAATAAGGCAATTGTGTTAAGTTTTTTTGTACCATCACTTTTCTCGATTAGTCGCAAAGAAACCGCGTTTTTGTCACAATTTAATCTTTCCATTTGAAAGCATTTATCAGACGATCTAAAAACAAAGTAATTTATAATATAATCGAAGCATGTCGAGCAGTCAAAACATACCCGATTTGGTCGAGAAATCGAAACATATGCTGAGAACAATCGGGGATTAAAGGTCTTCTTAATGTGCAATTAGCTAGACCTGATGTTATATAGAACCGCCAGTGGGTATAAAGGACTAGACACAGTGCCAATGTCAATTGAAAGCCTTTTTTGGGACAACCATCAAATTGTCGCCACAAAAAAGAATACTCGAACTTATTGAAACTAAACTAAAATGTTTATGAAAAAAATTTAGTCAACTAAACAGAACAATTAATTGACAAACAGCTAGCATCTTTCTTGAAGCTAATTTTTTTTTGAATGTTTGGGCAATTGCACATTAACTTATAATTGTCTTTTTGCAGGCTAGTTAGAATTTGTCTAATATCAATTTTAAAGAAATCTTTTTTTTCTAAAGCATGTTGTATCTCCAAAGTTCCAGCTAAAAATCCTACGAAGCGCTTCCACATAACGACAAAACATCAAAAACATCAATTTCAACAATTGTGATCATATAAGTTTATCAATCATGCGCATATTGAGCTCGTACTAACAGAACTGTGGCCCATGTTTTAGATATGACCTCAACCAAAACAAAATGTTTTGATGTCAACTGTTTCAATGAAATATCTACGTTGTTCGGTCAAATTTTTTATAGGCCCACTCATAGGGGACCGGCCTGTTAGGATGTGTGCCGATAAGGGGACAAATTTTGGGACAATTAACGCGCGATATATTTCGATCTATTAACGCGTAAGCGGGGATTTAATCCGTCCTAGAAGTGATTCCAAATTGAACAAAGGGAGCTTATTGGCCATAAATATTTGTTACTAGAGGCAAAATCTATCATTTTGTGCTTCTGCCCAATTTGGAAGTTTTTGACGATATATAATGTAACCTCAGATATAGGATAGTTGATTGGTTTTGGCGGTCGTTGAAGTGGGCAGCACATTAATCACTTAAATTCATCATTCGACTGGGTGAGCGTTTTTTGATCCTTAGGTATAAAACTAATAGGTCTTTTTCCTTTTAAGTTGACTTAAGTTTGGTTATCGAAATTTGGAACGTTTTGTAGC